GATCCACTAGAATGTGGAAATTATCAAACAATATCATATGTAAGCAAAATGTTGCTGAAGATCATAAAAAAATGACTAGAACAGTACATCGACCTAGACTATCAGAAATTCAGGGTGGAAATTTAAGAAAATGAAAATCTTAAGAGACTGTGGCACATTGCTGGTGTCAGACTGATCCTGGTTGAAGGCACAGAATACCAGAAGAAGGTTTGTGTTTTATGAACTATTATGCAAAGGCATTTGACTTGTGTGAATCATAATAAATCATGGTTAACATTGATCATAATGGGAATCCCAGATTTAAATATACTCATACAAAACCTAGATTTCAGCCAAGAAGCTGTTGACTGTGAGAACCTCCCGGGCTGCTCTGCAGAAGAGAGGTCTGAGAAGCTGCTTCTGTAAAGACTTCAGCCACGGAAAGCCCACGGAGCAACTTTCCTCTTAACAAATAGGGTTTCCATGCATCAGAAGAAACTCGGCAGCAACAGGGATTTTGGATTAATGTGGAAATGATGAGCAAAATGGAAAGATGGAAATTAGTATATGATCATGATTTACAAAAGCAGAATGATATTCCATAACAAGGAAAAGGGGGTCCATATTCAGTCTGGAGCAGCCTCTCCCCAGACTGAATTGTTTTCACATTAAAATTTTCTTTCAACTGTGGAAAAAGATACTTAAATTATAGTCAGGTAAACAATATTCTTGACATAGCTTCTTTTTTTCTTTTTCTTTTTTACTTTTAAGAAAAGAATCCGAATGCAACGGCCTCCATCTTGGTTTCCACAATTATAAAACACACACCCCCCAGCATAATCACAGCATACCAGATGTTGTTGTTGTTATGTGCCGTCGAGTCACTTGCGACTCATAGCGACCCTATGTACAACAGCCCTAAACCCTGCTCTATCCTGTGCCAATCTCACTGCCTCTGACACACCCATCCCGATTACCCCAGTCACTGAATCAATCCACCTCATAGAGGGCCTTCCTCTCCTGCGCCGTCCCTCCACCCTCCCAAGCATGATGTCCCTCTCCAAGGACCAGTCTCTCTTCACAACATGTCCAAAGTATGTTAGACGGAGCCTCAGAATCCTTGCCTCCAAGGAGCCACCCGGTTTAACCCTTTCCAGGACGAATCTGTTTGTTTTCCTAGCAGCCCATGCCAGATAACAAAATACTGTTTATATGTGGATAGAAAACCATCTTCTTAAAAAAACTTTAACATTTTTAGAATAAATGAAAATATGTAGAATTACAGAAAGAAAATAAAATATATGGGATTAAATGACTTTGGTTATACAAAGAAAAAGGAGATTTCTGCATCATTTCTGCTCCATTATTAGCTGTCAGTGTGGTGAGGAAAAGTAAAAGACAGTATGTCTTTTGAAGTTTCTGTTCTGGGCCTGCCTTAACCCATAACTTTTAAAATTATCTCTTAAAATAGATATAATTTTATGTATGTCCAGTGAAGACAAGGTTTTGAGTTACAGAATTCACCAATGTAAGAAAAACACTACATTGCAATCTTTTCTTTTTTTCCACACATATCACCTCAACCTCTGCTAACAGCAGCTCTAAATCCCCCTGGCATATTACTAAAGTTCACTGTTTACACATCAGCCCAAAGGCAGGCTGTTCAAACCCACCAACTACTCCAATGGAATGGATGAGCGATCACCTCCTGTGTGATTTACAGTCTCTGAAAACCTGCAAAGGGCTGTGGTGGGGGGTCCGCTGAGTCAAATCTGACTTAATGGCAATGAGCTGAATATTATACTTGGGTACTTTTCCCAATGCGTTTCCTATGCCCTAGTTCAATTATTCCTCACAACAACCATCTGAAATAGGTTGCAAACCTTATTAGTAAACTCATTGTGAAGAGTAAAACAAAAACCACAGAGAAGTTAAAGAAATGTCCCAAAGTCACACAGCAAAAAGAGGCAGGGACAGGACTAAACTCTGTACAATCAGGCTCACAACATCACTGTCCCACAGAAATATAACAAGATGTATATGATTCTGCACGTTCAAATTTAGAGTTTAATAGTCACATTAAACATGTGAAACAGGTAGATAAAATTGAGTTTACGTATATTTTATTTAACTAAACATGTTCAAAATTTCACTGCTTTAGTTTGCTTGGCTCCACAGTCAATACTCTTGGCACCAGTAGGTAGGAAATTAAAAGACGTATTGCCATGGGAAAGTCTGCTGTTAGGGACCGTTCCAAAGTTCTGAGCAATGGTGTCTCTCTGGAGACTAAGGTGCGTCTGATACAGGCCATGGTCTTTGCAATCACTTGTTAGATGTCAGAGAGTTGGACAATGACTAGGGAGGATAGAAGGAGAACTGATGCCTTTGAGCTGTAGTGCTGGAGAAGAGTATTGAGAGTACCATGGACTGCTAAGAAAACAAACAGATTCATCCTGGAGAGGGTTAAACTGGGCTGCTCCTTGGAGGCAAGGATTCTGAGGCTCCGGCTAACATACTTTGGACATGTTGTAAGGAGGGACAGGTCCTTGGAGAGGGACATTATGCTTGGGAGGGTGGAGGGACAGCGCAGGAGGGGAAGGCCCTCTGGGAGGTGGATTGATTCAGTGACTGGGATAATCGGGATGGGAGTGTCAGAGACAGTGCGATTGGCACAAGACAGAGCAGGGTTTAGGGCTGTTGTACATAGGGTCACTATGAGTTGCAAGAGACTCTACTGTACATAACAACAACAACAAACATGTTCAAATTATTATTTTGATATGCCATCAATATCAATGTTAATAATGAGGTATGTTACATATACTCCGCACTAACTTTTTAAAATCTAGTGCGTATATACAGCACAGCTCAATGTGGACTCAAACTGCCTGCCGGTGACTTGGTTCCAGCTTGCAGGGAGCCTGCCTTGTGCCTCCGGAGCTGTGTATCTTCACAGGAGGGGGCTGCCCACCATTCTGGCCTGGAGAAGTTGGTGAATTCAGATTACTGGAGAAGCAGCCCTTAGGTTAGCAACACAGCATCCCAAGCACGATGCCATCAGCGTTCCTGACTCACATTTCAAGATGCAGTAACCACAAGTAGTTACAAGACAGTACAGCTCCCGGCCTGCTTGCTAGCCGCCATGCTGCTCCAGCAAGGAACTGAAAACGTTCTAGGGTGCCATTGCTATATATAATTTTTCCAACTATCGTTCAAACAGAAGCCCCTAAGCAGGGTCCTCCTTCACAGCAAGGAGAGTGGAGCCTTGTCTCACACAGTGCGGGCGTGTTGTCAGGAGGGCCAGGCCTTGGAAAAGGACACCTTGCGGGGAAAAGCAGTCAGAGCGAGAAAGCCTCTCAACAAGATGGATTAACACAGTGGCCGTAACCACAGGCTTAAGCAGAGCAGGGGTAGTGAGAAAGATGTCGGACAGGGCGAGGTTCTGATCTGTTGTGCTAGGGTCGCTGTGAGTCAGGGGTGACTTGACAGCGACTAACAAATAGCAGCAGCCTTTCCTGTAATTCATTTTCTCCTGCCTCATCTTGAGAGAAGAGAGAAGAAAAAAAGTCCACCTCACTGGGGAGGCCATTCTCCCAAGATATTTTCACACGTTTCAGCTTCTGTTACAGACCAGCTCCCAAGGATATTTGTGTAGCGAACACAAAGGTAGAGTCTCTCTTAGGTTGCTGTTGTTAGGTGTCAAGGATGACTCATAGTGACCCGAGGAACAATAGATCTGAACCCTGTCCTTCCTGTGCCATCCTCATCATCTCTGACACACTTGAGCCCATCACTGCAGTCACTGAATCAATCTATCTTCTTGAAGGTCTTCCCTTCTCATGCTGACCAGAGGGGAGAATATTTACATCTTCCTCTGGGGCAAAAGTTCAATAGACAACATCACGATAGATGGAGAAAAAGAAATGGAAATTGTCAATGATTTCATCTTGCTTGGATCCACAGCCAATGCCCGTGGTTCCAGTAGTCAGGAGACTGGGAGATAGATAGCATTGGGAAAGTTTGCTGTCAGGGATCTCGCCAGAGCTCTGAAGAGCAATGTCATCATCTTAAAGGATGATTTAAGCCAACGGTCTTTTCAAACACCTGCTATGCATCTGAAAGCTGAACAGTGAATCAAGATAGCAGGAGGAGGATCAATGTCTTTGCTTTGTGGTGTTGGAGAAGAGTGCCTCTTCATAAAATTGGCAGTTTCCTAAGCTTGAGATTCCTCAGCTATGACACAAAACCTCAGTGCATTCAGCACCCATCTACATTCCTCTGATTATTTTCCTGAGGTGTGGGAGTCAAGAGAAACTAATACATACATGAATGCCAATCTGCCTCCTGTGCCACAAATAATAAAATCCCTTTGCCTCTTACCTAAAAAGGCAAGTTTCTGGTGGTTCGAATCTACCAGCAGCTCAAGAGAGAAAGATTGACTGGTTTTTTTCTTCTTAAAATAGACAACTTCAGAAACCCAAGGAGGGCTACTATGAGCGAGCTGAGTTGCCTCTGACCCAGGCATATCACCTTCAAGCAGAAGCTGTAAACTGGAAGGCTAGTGTTCAGGGTAAAGCTTCAGATTCTTCATAGTTCTCCACACACCTTTTACGTGTTGCTGGGTTTTAGAAAACTTCTTTCAGAAACAAGAACTCTGATTTTGCACACTTAGGAACTAAGATCAAATCAGTTTACTGTTTTAGGATTAAAATAGCTGCAAAAATTCCAAAAAGAGGCAGAGCTATCTAATGCTTTCCCATGATTATCAATGTCCCGCATTAGGCTTGGATTCTCCCACAGCTCAGCAGAGAAAGATGGGCAATCTCCTCTCACGTGGTGTGCAGCTCCTGAAAGCCCCCTTGCAGAGGGTCTTTGGGTCGGTCCTGCCCCAATGGCAGTAATTTTGAGTTGTGTTTATTTTTACTAGGTCTTGTCAAAGCCCCATTTAAATTCTTTCACCACAGCAAGCATGTCATCAAGCCACTTTTGTTTCTTTTACAAAGCATTTATGCATACCTTACCTTTCCACAGCATTTGGCTTTGTCTATAATCTTCAGCGCAAACTCCTTTCCAGTGGACCTACCAAATAATCAAAGAAAGGCCATTTAAAGACATAAAGACGTTAGCTTGCTGTCAACAGGATTCACAGCAACTCTGCAGGACAGAGAGTTGCCCCATATGGTTGCTTTATAAGGCTTTGAACCTTTATGGAAGCAGATCACCTTATCTTTCTCTCAAAGAGAACAGGCTGGGTTCAAACCCCTGACCTTTCAGTTAGCAGCCAAGCACTTAAAATACTAGTCACCAGGACTCCTTTCCTAAAGACATTATCACTTATCGTTTCCTCTGCAGCAAAGCCTCTTCTCCCTCCATGTATATGAACAGCTGTCTCAGGCCCTCAGCCAGCAACTGTGAAACTAGAAGTCTAACTCGTCATCTTAAAAGTAGGACAAGGTCTCAGACCCTTCACAGTTCTAGACACACCTTTTATATGTCACTAGAAGCTGGTGGTTCAAATCTGCCAGTCACTCTACAAGAGCAAGAAAGAAGCTCTTCCAGTAACTATTTTTAGCCTCAAAAACCCAATGAAGGGGCACCATGAGTCAGAATGGACTAAATAGTAATGAGTTCTTTGTTTTGGATTTATAACAATTGATAACTGTAATATTACAAAGTAGTCCACATACTTTAATAATTTCAATTGCTTTTATCAGGCCTGGAACAGAAATGGTTTTTCCATAATCAATCTTAAAAGAGTTCATGCAGGAAACAGATAAAATTAAGAAAAAGGGAATCAAATTTCTGACAATTTTCTTATTCTCAATTCGCCTTTAGATTAGTCCATTAATCACACAGCACATTCTTGAAAACGGAAAGTCTCAAGCTCTCTTTATCTGTTTCTCAGCCAAAAATCCAGCTAGGATTTGCTGCCACTCTGTCCACCTCTTTAAATGCCCACCCACATCAGGCACTGGTGAGGTCATTTACCTGGATACAGGAATCCTGACTACTATTTTTCAATCATCTTTAGTATTATTTCATCTGAACATCTAAAGGATGTCTTTTAGTATAAACAAATAGCTAATAAGGCACACTGCAGACTTTTAAGAATGTATCTATCTCCCTGAGAATATAAGAACTGAAGCACAGATTTTTACACCAGTGTTGATAGCAGCATTATTCACCATCATAAGAACATGGAAACAGCCCAAATGTCCAACCACAAACCAATGGATTGAGAAATTATGGTACATTCACATAATGGGATATGATACAGCACATAGGAGCAATAACTTTGTAAATTATTACCAACTTGGGAGGGACTGGAGAGCATTACACTGAGAGAACTAACTCAGTCCCAGAAGGATAAATATTGTATAAGACTGTTACTGTAGAATGAGTATAAGGATCCAGGAGGGGTGGGAGAGGCTGGAAGCAGAGGGATGTGGATGTGCAAGGGGCGGTGGGATTAAACATTGGATTGTACAGTTTGATGAGTGGGGGGATGAGGGAAATGGAAAGAATTTGTTCAAATTTGTATTTGGATTTTTAAAATAAACTAGTAGAAAATTTAAAAAAAAAAAAAAAAAGAATACATCTATCTCCTAAACACAGTCGCTTCTTCCTGGCTCTCATAGTAACATGCTGATGAGGCCTAGCTTGGAAGAATTACTTAAGTTGCTACTCCAACTCCATAAAAACGCGAATCAAATAGTTTTTTTAAATTTCTGACAAGTCTTCCTCATTTTATTGCTGTCAAGCTGTTACCAACTCCTAGTTGACGCTCCACTGAGTTTCCAAGGCTGTAAATTAAATGGGAGGAGAAGGCCCATCTTTCTCCCCCAGAGCTAATGGTGGATTTGAACTTGCAGAATGGCCTTCGGGTTAACAGCACAACCCCCTACGGACTAGGCCACCAGCTTTACAAGCTTTAGGAGTCATATTCCAGGTGTTTTGTTATTTGGGTGGCATTCTGTGTGTGAGTGCTAAGTAAATGTGCTTAAAGGCTTGAGAGCTACCACATATACCAAAACAAAAGGAAAAACTATAAGATGGGAAAATGTAATTTTCCAAAACATTCTAGAAAACTTCTGACAAAGAACAAAAACTGCCTCTCATCTATACACCCAAAGATTAGAATTTGAAAATTTCCTGGTGTTCATACAGTTCACAAAAGGCTTTTAATGAATATTAGTAGCTTTTGAGAATTTAGGATTTTAATCAAAACAAAAATGGCCTGGCGACATAGGTTCATTGATGGTAGAGCACTACCTGAAAGGCAGGCAGTTCAAATCCACCGGCTTCCCTGAAGGAGATGTGCGTGGTCTCCTTCCTCTGAGACTGACAGGTTGAAAACTTGGTGGAGGGGTCTCTGTGACTTGGAAACAACTCAACTTTTTTTTTAAAATCAAAAGAAAGAACACTGCATAATCCACAAATAAGTAATTTTTTAAAAGGCAAAAATACAGAGTTCATTATTCTGAACTATTGGTACATTCAACTCAGTATTATCTTAAAGGGTTATTTTAGAAATTAAATGACTTAATAAAATGACAGCAATGAGAACCAAGGAAGTATATAAGGGGTTTTTGTTTGATGTTTGGTCTTTTTGTTTTATTAGAATGAGATTTATCCTTTTCCGTTTTATTTTGGCTCACAGTAAAATAATATAACTCAGCCCACTGCATAGAAAAGCAGTTTCATAGTCTAGGTATACACATCCATTTGTGAACATGCAAAAATGATTTTGCTAAGGGTGGACTTTTAAAAAATTTTCATATCCAATGAACCTTTCTAGACATTTTAGGAGGATAAACATTAGAAGACTGAGGAGAAGGCTTCCAAGGGTGGTCTTTTATTCATTAAGATAAAGAATGAACTTCCAGGGAGAAATTTATGTGTCAGTGAACAACAATCTTTCCTCACTATTCACCCACCTGTCCATGCATTCTTTGACCACTGCAAAATTGCCATCACCAATGACCTTCCCAATTCTGTATTTCTCTAGAAGAGTGGAGGACTCAGAACATCTGTTTCCATTCACACCTGCAAAAAGGAACAAATGTTGAGTCTTAAGAAAATGTAAGCATTCTATTTTTATTTCTATATACTTGCAAAACAATAATTTGCAATGTATTCATTTTTAAAACTATGGTCAAACAAAAATCTCTATATTTTTCATATAGAAGATATAAATCACTAATGTTCTTATGACTTTACTGACTGAATCAGAAACCAACAATGCCTCAATCTTTCCTCAAAACGTTGAACATAGAAACTATTCCACTCTTAGGAATACATCCCTAGGAAATGAAAACTGATACACAAAACAAGATTTGTACACCAATGCTTACAGAAGCTTTATTCACTATTGCAAGAACATGGAAATAGTCCAAATGTCCAACCATAACTGAATGGATTGAGAAATGGATTGGGTGCATTCACACAATTGAATACTATGCAGCACTCAGGAGCAATGATTTTGAAAAATAATGCATAACTTGGGAGGGACTGGAGAGCATTATTCTGAGTGAACTAATGCAGTCTCATGGTAAAAAGAGAAGGATAACTAGTAAACATGTATGGGAACTCAAGGAGAGAAGGGGTGGGAGCAGAGGGGTAAGGATGAGTAGGAGCAAAACTACAGGGTTTCACAATTTTTTGGGTCAAACACTAGTGTGTATGGTGCTATGATGGTATTTAGATGTGATTAGTATTCAAAGTTCATAAACTAAGTATATTACCCTCTGTCACATGCGTAGCCTCATCCAATCAGCTGAACGTCTTAAGGGCAAACACTAAGGTTTCTCAAAGGAAAAAAAGTACATTCTGCCTCAAGAATACTACATCAAACTCTTGCCTAAGTTTTCACCCTGCCAGCCTGTCCTTCAGATTTCAAAATCAATCCCTTAAAACAAGACTGTCTGTCTCTGTGTGTACACGTGTGTACACGTGTGTAGGCACATATACGCAGCTGGATGTCTCACTGAAAGATTCTGATACAAAACCCAAATCTGAAATCTTAAACAGTGAGAGTGAAATGAACAATGAGATTTTATGTATCTTTTTTTCAAAATTTTTTAATTTTATGACTCTTGAATTGACTTTACCCCTAACACCCAACAGACTACTAGGTAGCATTGTCATACCCTTGCTTAGGAAAGTAGAACTTTTATGAGTAATTATAAATTTTAAATATCCATTTTAAACTTAATAATTTTATTAATCCTAATTTAATACAGGTGGGTTTGGGGTGGCTATCAGCACCACAGGTGTGACTTTGCTTATGAAAACCATCATCAGATTGGGAACTACCTTCAGGACTCATGCAACGATCCAGGTCAGGTCCACCGTTGACATTGGAAGAAGACCCACTGTGTGCAGAAACCTGCTGAAATAGGCAACCCACCATTATGTATTAGTACACGCTCATAAATATTTAGCTGGCTGAACCTTACTGGTTAACAGAGGTTATCTGCAGAGTGTAAAAGTGTAACAACACAAAAAGAGGAAGCCTCCTTCTCCTCAACTCATGCTTCTCTCTATATATTACATTAATGCTTTTCTTCCTCAGGTACAATATTTTTTTAAGTTCATGTTAGATAGTAGCGAAAGTGACCTCAATGGAATGGAATGAGAGAGACTCTGAGTTTATAGTTACCCACACAGTTCTCATTAGTCGCAACAACTCAACATTGTTGGGCGTCTTCATGTGTGTTTCAGTTCATAGCAACCCTGAATACAATGGAACAAAACATGCTCAGTTCTGTGCCATCTTCAAGCTCATTGCAATGTCTTGTGTCTTCTGTTGTAGCCACTGTGTTAATCCAGCTATTTGTGGGTCTTCCTTTTTTTCCACAGAGCGTCCACTTCAGCCAGCATGATATCCTCCTCCTGATAAAATGTCTTGTTAGATTTTTTTCCTTTTTTAAGGAGAAGGTATTAGTTATTAACGTCTTTCCTTAAAAGATCTTGGGCCTAACATAGAGCCTTGAAAAGGGAAGCTCGTAAATTTTTAAAATTCCCCTGAGAGATTTGTGCTAAATGATGTAATAGAATTCTATTCCTCCTTTCATCTAAATTTCAGACAAATCTGAAATTTGTCAATCAAGGAAGTAAGAGGACCAAAATGAAACACCAATAGATCAAAAGTTAATGGAAGAAAGGCAGAGAGAATATAATTTTTGGCAAGTTTTATTTCAAAAGATAAACTGAAAGATTTATGCTGTGTGTCACTTCACGCACCAAAGTGTTGGGGAGCAAGCTAGTGCTCAGAAACGACTTTGGACAGTGATGGTTTGCCTGCCTGTGCCTACTTCCCAGCCTAGCCCAGCCAGGCGGCCCCACGGCCACTGGTCAGGGAGGCGGCGAGGAGAGCAGCCTGTCACCCAGCCTGAGCCTTCGGGGAGCAGAGTTCACAGGGCTCACATCTACATCACGGTGACAGGACGCACCCCTGCCCCTGTTCCCTCCAACAACTGCTGAAAACACTGTAAGATTCTTCTATCACGTTGTGGGGTTTTTTGTTTTATTTTGTTTTTTTTTAGCTAGTCCATGTAATTTCTGGTGTTTTGCAAACACATGTGTCCCATCTGACTCAAGGGTTCTCCAGAAAGGAAATCTCAGAAGGTCTCCAAAGAGGACATTTTTGCCCCATTTACATTTTCACATGGATGAGTAACTCCCAGGAGTGTATACTGATTGAGTTCTGGTGACCCATTGGAAGCCTTCCTGGTGTTTATTTTGATTAAACCCCTCCCCCCATCCTGTTTGCCTGCACAGACCAGCAATTAGAAGCAGGGTTTGTGCTGAGACGCTGGGGCAGCAAAGAGGCAGAGACAGAGCTGGGGGGAAGCCCTTTCGACAGAGCACCACAGAAAGGGACCTGGCAAAGGTGTCATTAAACCACCAGGAAATGTCACTTTCCCAGTAAATAATGATCTCAAGAATACTGGACTTAGAGGGAGGGATTGTATAACAATGAAAGAATTTTTCTTTTACTTTTCAAAGAGAAGAATGAACTGGAGGGGAGGGGTGAGCAGGGAGAAAAGCGTAACAATGAATGAATGGAAATCCAAAATCTCTGTAAATTTTCATTAAAATTAAAATAATAAAAAAAGAAAAAAGAGGATACATCGTAAATTTCTCAAATTATTTGTTAAAAACATGTTAAACTTCAATCCTTAAAAGCCTAACACCAATAATGTATATAGAGTTAGTAGAAGATATGACTTATCCAATTATCTATCCACATATGCTTCTTAATTTGAAAATAAAGCTTTCCACAAAGGAAATGAAAGCCTAAGGGGTGGGGAGGAGGCAGGGGGAGGGAAAAATAATCTTACTACAGCAAAGCTCAGCAGTTAAAGATGACAGTTTTTCTTCACTCCTTAGTAATATCTATAGCAACAAACTACTCTGGGATTTTAGACAAGAATACAAGGATGCAGAAACATGTCATTATGAATTGTCTATAACATCTATAAGTTTATAATCTTATGGGGAGGCATAAGTATATACCTAAAACCCTTCAGCAAAGGCATCTGCATCCTAGGACATGGTTCTGAAGACTCTACTACAAGGACTTTGAAGCTCCATGAGAGGGAGCCGTTTTGCCACAGCTGTACACACTTGGACTCGTGAGTCAGCTAGTGATTAAGTCCACTTGACCCGCTGGTAACGAGGCGTGGTGCTCCAGGGGTGTAAGAAAAGCTGGCTATTCACTCACATCCCTGCGTGTACTCCTTGCAAATGTGAAGGGTCAACTGTTAAAAATAAGGCAAAGCATGTTCCGTGTCCTGTGTTCTGACAGCCATACCGACAAAGCAATGGCAATGCAAGAGCTAAAGCGTCAAAATTCCCACCACTTCCCTTGCACGATTTTTTTTTCTCACCTTGTCTCCTGAGTGAGAATTCCTCTCTTACTAAAGCAAGGACTGAATTAGCACCGGAGGTATTCTTTTAAAATGGCATTCCTAATTAAACTTGTCCTATTTCTATTGTCAAACTAACAATTTTCATGAAAATCTTTTGAAATGCTAATGAGTATTCATGAGTCCATCAGCAACACTGCCTAGATGCACTGTGTTAGGTCCTCCTCAATAAAGCAGAAACAGAGGGCAGCATCTGGGCTCTTTCAAGCTATCCCTCATAATTACCAGCTGGCTCAGAAAGATGGCATTATGACCCAGGGTGGGCAGTGGAGGGGGATATATTTTCTGATGAAATTCTGATTGTTCAAGGAGCGAAGTGATGAAACTTACATGGAAAGGATGGCTGAGTATATTCTCGGATGCCACCCCTCTAATTCTCTAACAGGTAGTGGTGGTTATAGTCACTAGGTGCTGTTGAGTGTGATGTAACAACTCTGTGAACAACAGTTCTGACCCGTGTCTCATCCTGCGTCATCCTTATCAGCCTGCCACACTCAAGCCCCCGCCACAAACACTTAATAATCCATCTCCCTGAGGGTCTTCTTCTCTCTCGCTGATGCTCCACTTTTCCAAGTATGACGGACGGCCTTCTATGTTTACGAGTAAGAAAGGAAGAGGAACAACATAAATGGTTCTGCTAGGAACTTTAAGAATGAAAGGCAAACAGACCAGGGAAAAATAAAAAGGCTCTCAATTGTTAGCAGCAGTTAATAAGGCACACATAGCTGATGGAGCAGAGTTGATAATGAGTATCATCTTCAGAGGCAAAGATGATGAAACTTTATCTTACAAACTTTGGGCCTGTTGTCAGGAGGGACCAGTCCTTGGGAACAGAACATCATCTGGGAAATGTGGAGGGTCAGAGAAAGAGAGGAAGAGCCCCAATAAGATGGACTGACACAATGACTACGGTGATCAACAGTCTTGAGCATATCAGAGACTGTGAGGGCCACATGGTGCAGGACAGGACAAGGTTCAGAGGGTTGACCTGTGTTGTAGTTGACTTGATGGCACCTAACAACAACAACACTCCACATCTTCTACAAACCTTACTATATAACAACAAATGTGAAGTACCATAAAAATGCTAAATTTTATTAACAGGCAATTTTTTTTGTTTGTTTTAAGTTAATTTAATCAAACACACCTTATCTGGTGTCATCAGCATAGTTGACTCAGTTTTAACAGGCAATTTTTTTAAAAGCAAAAGCCTATATATATAGCAAAAGTTATATCAAAGAACCAAGGGGTCACAATATGCTGTAAATATTACTGATTTTTTTATATATGCTGAAATTTGAACTTTATTTCTTCACAAAAGGGATACTAATTTGCATAGAATCAAGTTTAAACATGTATGAGTGTGGGTTTATTTTATTGAGCACATTTTGGAGAATAAAACAATAATTTGATTTTTTTTTACACAGTCTACAATAGGAGTCACAAATCTTTCCACTGAAAGTGAGAATATTTTAGACTGAGTTATAAAGTCTTAAATTCTGCCACTGTAACACTGATGTTGCCATGTTGTTGTCATTGTTATGTGCTGTCTAATTGAGCATGACTCGCAGTGACCCCAGGAATAGCCGTCCTGAACCCTGCCTTTTCCTATGCCATCCTCATTTTCTCTGATACACTAGCCCATTTCTGAAGTCACTACGTCAATCCATCTGGTTGGGGTCTTCCTCTCCTACACCAACCCTCCATCTTTACAAGCATGATATCCCTTTCCAAATAATACTTTACCTGTTCAAAGTAGGAAATACAAAGCTTTGCCATCTTTGCCTCCAAGGTGCACTCTGGCTACATTTTTCCCCCAAGACATCTCTAGTTGTTCTTTTGTCATTTCATGGGATATTCAAGACTCTCATCCAGTACCACAACTCAAAGGGATCAATTCTTCTGTCACCTTATTCATTGTTCAGCTCTCTGACACATAGCAGGTGACTGAGAAGACCATGGCCTGAATCAGATGCACCTTAGTCTTCAGAGTGCTATTATTGCTCTTCAGCACTTTGGAGAGGACCCTGACAAAAGACTTGCTCAATGCAACGCATTTCCTGATTTCCTGACTGCTGGTACCAAAAGTGCTGATTGTTGGTCTAAGTAAAATAAAATCATTGACAGCTCCGATCCTTTCTCCATCTATCATGTTGACTGTTGGTCCTGTGGTGAGGAGCTTTGTTTCCTTGATGTTGAGATGTAATCCATACCAAAGGCCAGCATTTCACATCCTCCTTATTTTCGGCAAGCAAAGTTGGGTCATCTACTTAATGCAAGGTTTTGATGAGTCTTCTTCCAATCTTGATGACACATTCTTCTTCATAGAGTCTGGATTTGCAAATTATATCCTCAGCATACAGACTGAATAGGTAAAGAGAAGGGCTACAAACTGGATGCACACAATTCCTGATTTAAAACAATGCAGGATTCCGTGCTACTGTCCAGACAACAGCTT